CAGGTGCCGGAGCGCCACGCGCTCTCCTTTCCCCGCAGCCCTATCTGGAGACTCGCTCCTCCCAGTCCCTCGCTGTGCGCGTGCGCCCCGGGATCGCTTCCTTTCCCTGCTCTGGATTCGCGTCCGCGAATACCCGCCTGTTCGCTGTCGCTCCGCCCGCGCGCTTCACGTGCTCCGAAGCGGCAGCGGAGGTGGGGCCCGGCCGGGGGCGCCTGTCTGAGGACGCGGTCTGGCGGCTTTGCGGGAGGCCGCGACAGAGTTTTAACTGCTGGCACAAACTGGTGAGGGGCGTCTCTCCCCTGGGCTCCTTCGCGCCCGCCCGGAAGCTGGGGACGCGGGCGCGCAGACCAAGCTGCAGCCCAGAAGTTTCGGAGACGCGCGGGTCTCCCTGGCGCGGAGACAGCGGAGCACGCACCGGGGTGGTTTGGCGTCCGGAGCTACAGGCTGTCCTCTCTGGCCCTGTGCAGCCATTCCCTGATGGTTTGGGCCAAGGCTGCTGTTGTAGAATTTTCTCTCCGGTTTTAGTCTAAAGGTGTCGTTACTCCTTAAATCATACCTAAGGTGACAGAGAAGTGCGTAGGATGAAGTGGCCCTTCCAGAGTCTTAGTCTCTCGAGTCCTTAAAATTCCAGCTTAAATGTCACCTCTGGAGCCTCATTACCGGCTCTTCACCTCACTCGCACGACGTGCTGTCTCCTGCCCTGGTCTGTGTCAATGTCTGTGTGTCGCGGAGTCACCCGCCACCCCACAGCTACCTGCCGTGCGCTCCCCGTGTGAAGAAGGAGGGAAGGTGTATTGAGGGACTAACAGTTTTCGTTTCACCTGAGGAGCCGACGAGACGGAGGAGAGACCTGGGCAAGCACTGGGGGCGAGTGACAGGAGCGCAAGTGGGCTTATTAGAGGGACAGCAGGTGGTTCATTCTGGCTTTAAGGAGTGCAGAGGAGCAAAGTCTGGAAAACTCGGTTTTAGTCTTTAGTATCAGGGATGGGCTGGGACCTCATACTGCCGGTTTTGGAGGAGACAAAGGTAATGAAATCGCAAGTGACAGGATCAGAACTCTTCTCTAGAGAGATTTACCAGTGTATGAAGGATTGGAATGGGGAAAGAATGGAAAAACCAGTTAGCCTTTTCCATTTGTGCAACCAGTGAGGAAAACCAGAACTTATGGTGGCACTAAGAGCAAGGGTCTGTAAGCTTTTCTATAGAAGACCAAACATGAATATTGTCGGTGTTGTCTGTCAAGTCTACACTGTAGTAAGAAAGCAACCATAGACTGTATACATAAAGGAATTGTCAAGGCTGGGTTCCAGTAAAACTTTATTTATGGACACTGAAATTTTAATATAATTTGGGGTATCACGAAATATTCTGTTTACTTTTTTCAGTCATTTAAAAATGTAAAAACTGAGGGTTTTTTTCTTCCCTGGAGGTACAAAAACAGCCCACAGGCCATAGTTTGCAGACCCCTGCTTTAGAAGTATTTTCTTGAGTCAGAGCGAACAGGATTTAATTGGGAATAAGTAAGTGACCATATAATCTAACCTCTTCCAATCTGTAACATTTTTGGAAATGAAAGAGGGCGCTATTAATTACACTGGGAGAACAGGAGTAAAATCACGTTGTTATCCCAGGCAAATCTGAATGAGTGGTCAACCTAAGTTTAAGGGTTAGAGCTCAAAACTGCCTCAGAACTTGATAAAAGGAAATGGAAGGGCCAATGATGGAAACAGAGAGATTGGGAAGGAGGTGGTGGCTGTGGTCTCAGGTGTCATACAGTTGGGGTAACATCAACCAGCAGAAAGAAACCACCCCAGGGGCCTTAGAGAAGACTACCCTTATATCTTACTGACCAGAACTGTGTCACTAGCGATTTCCTAAAGCAGTAACTGACAAAGAGCAAGGGGCTACCATGATTGGTTACTGTTTACCTGACTTTTGGCAGCTCTTACTGCAGGACTGTGGCTTGCATTGCCAGACCTTTTGCATCACTGGTCCCTTCCCACTAAATGTCAGTAGTATACCCCAGGCATTGTGACACCAAGAAAACCCCTCTTCACCCCACACACGCCCTATAGAGATGGTACTGATTGAGAACTACTGGCTTAGACCAAACAGGATTTACCTTGGAGCTGAATTATGAGTGTGTAGGGTTTTTTCCCTTGATTAGTCTGGAGGGAATAGAGGAATTGAGCAGTATTGTTGTGCTCTCAAGGAAGGAAGTAGGGTGGGGAATGTTGGGTAGGTAACAAATGTCTGCCGTGAGAAGTAAAAAGTTAAATGTCTTATACTCTTGATAAATATCTTAGCTTCTTCACACTTGAAGCCCTTCCTCTTACTTTTTTAGTCCTCTGAGCAACTTATTCTCATTCTAAACCCCCTCACCTTGTCTAGGAGGGACTTCTTGCCCCCCCCCCC